AAAAAAAAGCATTTGAAATAGAAAAAATGTTAGCTCTATAATTTGAACAGATAAAAAAAAACAATTCTGACGAAAATTTTGTTAATCTCGAAAACCTAGTATATGAAGATCTAAAGGGATTTCTCATAGTCATATTCGGAATCAATATCGTCAAGAGTCCATAATTCAATAGCTTTCGTTAAAAAAGAAACTGATCAATTGAAAACGTTCCCGCATTACAATTCCAAAATATATACATGATCTCCCTTTTTTTTTCATGATCGATTAATATTGATTGTTGCCTTTTGAAGAAAAAAAAGAAAATAGCTTTTCTTTAAAGAGTAATCAAATGAAAAGATCATCTAATACAACATCTGTGTCACTATTTATTATAAAAATTCAGTTCACAATTATATACACAAGATAAAGTTAAGTTGTACAATAACGTGCATTACATACAGATATAGGTGGTAAAAAGTAAACATAATAACCAGCAGAACAATAGATTATTGATACGTCAACGGTAAAGCCACATTCGTGTGCCTCAGTTTCGAAGCATACTGTTCCATTAGTGACAACATCTTGCGTTGTTGGTAATGTATTATTAGACCAACCGGATAAGTAACCACCACAATGCTTCAAACCAGCTGATGACATAGGAATTCTATCACCACCAGTGCCAACAAATCGAATCCAAGAACCACCATTACTTGCATTGAATATGGGTCCATTATCACAGGAACCATATGATCCAACATTATTAATACTTCGTGTTGGATCATTGATTTCTGTATAGCCTGAACATCCTGATCCAGTTTGACTACCGATTCTTATACTACTAGTTACTGATCCTGATGTTATTGTCGTATCTGAAATAAGAAAAACACTTTTTATAAATATTATTCTTCAACATAACTATACATACATGAATTCTGATTATTATTTCCAGTTCCAGATGAACTACTAGAATTTATAACAGCAAATACAATACCAATAGAAGTACCTGTAGCTGCTATAAGTATAACAGCAATAATAAATGTAGCAGCCGCTGCTCGTGGACTACAAAGTCGTTTGTCATCAAATATTTTTATTCTAAAAAATATTTATTTTGAAATAAAAAACAAAAAAAAACAATTTTTTTTTTACTTACTGAGAAGCAGGATCGTTTATTGATCTTGAAGTAAAATTTTGTGTTGGCTTCAACAAATAAGAAGGATGTTCGAGAGGTTGTATATTAGATCGAACTATTCCTGTATGTAAAGGTTCTATATTTTGAAATGCTTGCTGTGGTTTTCTAGGTATAATCTAATCCAATAATAAAGTTTTATTTATTTCGGAAAAGAAAAATGATTTCTTTTTTTTTCTTTACTGTGCGTGGTATACGATTTTGATCATTTTTCTTTTTAGTTACAATTTGAACATCACCAGGCGATTGTTTTTTCCATCCGATACTAATCGAATTCATCGTATTCGTTTTTTTATTCTCTCTGAATGTCTTATACACAATTTTCAACACTATATAAATATGAAACTTTCAACAGAAGAAAGAAAATAAAAATTCCATTATTCAAATTTTTCATTAATACATTCGTTGATTTCAATGTACAGATTCTATCAACAAATAATCATCGAACGATATTATAATTATTTTTCCTTTTATTTGACAATTATGCTTTTCTTCGACGGAAAAAAAGTACTTTTATCGGGATTAAAAACACACAAAAAAAAATAATATATAACATGCCAATAAAAAAAAAAGGACATAATTATCTCAGGTCATCATATCCAAAAGAAAATAAAAAAACATTAAAATTAAACATACTATCTCTAATGACTTTTGGAGTTTATTTCAAGAGAGCATAATCATCATGACCTGCCATTGCCAACAGTTATTCTACATTTTCAAATAAAAATACAAGTGAACGCATTTTTAGGATTCAATATAGGTTAGTAAACACAATGTTGGATGATGTAGGATACCTGTAAATAATAATCTTGTAAAAGCTATTTCGGTTATGATCATGTAAAAATAAATATTCGATTGAAGTAATGGCAAAAAGAATTTGAAAATTTTGAATTTCATACAGAACACACATCAGGAATTAAACTTGCTAATACACCTGTCAGTCACGTTCACAGATATTTTTCAGCAAAGACACGGATCAAATTTTTTCCATCTAGTTTTAATGAGACATTTGCTCATGTACGACAATTATTTTATATTCATATTTAATAACTATTCTGTACAGTGAAAAACAAAAAGAAGAATATATATATATATATAATTTATGAATATTGATAATAGCCAAATTACTAAGTCTTTCATCATGTGTTCTAATGCATAAATAGGTTATAGAAAATGAACGTTCGGCAATAGCTACCGACACCAATATTTAGCATCTGAATTTCCATGTGATTAATGATTAATACATTCAGTTGCTTGGATAAGAGACTCTGTATGATATTCATATTTACCATGATTCGATAAATAATTAATAGCATCTTGTAATGACCTATTAACAAATTGGCCGAAATACTAATTTCTTCCTTGTCTTGAAAATAAAATACAATATTGGTAATAAACTTCTTGATTCACTTCTGAATATGCTAACCATGAGTGTTGACATACTGTTCGAATTTGGAAAAATATAATTTGATGGTGGAATTCATGGTTTCGATTTAATAAGGAAAAATCTTTCGTATGAAATATATAATCCAATATCATCATTTTTGATAGGTATATTAATAATAATGATAGAATTTCGATTAACCGACAATAAAGAAGTGCCAAGTCGAATTTCTTTGTTATTATCAATTTCAATCTCATAATTGTTATTGAAATTATAAAAATTATCTGTTGTTGTTGTTGATTGTTGTGAAACATTTTGATCTATATCACTTTTAGATTTCTTGTTCGATACGAAATATGTACAAATATCTTCCTGTTTTCTCTTATTTGTCATTTTTCATAAATGTTTACTAAAAACAAAAATATTACGTTGATACTGTTATATGTAAATCACAAAGTAGAAGAAAATATTTGTATTTATACGTACCATACATATATTTGACACAAATCTCAGTACAAATATAAACATTGAGAGAGAGAAGAGGAGATCGATCCCCCCCCCCCTCTTTGTAAGCATCTCTGATATCTATATGCATGTTCGAATCACTAGTTCGAAAAAGTATTTCTGTTTTGTTATGAAACATATTGATCATCTGAATCTTTGATACAAATGATTTGATTGAACTACAATGTTTCATTATAATAATCAAAATCTCTTCGCACACCAATCTTGATAGTCTTTGTTTGTCAAATGAATGTTCATAAATCATTTGTTTCTGATAATAAGTTATATAGTTACTCATTTCATCAATTATCATTCCTTCTCGTTTATGTCGATAGGATATATATATATATATACATGTATTCCCTTGACGAAGATTCTTCACACTAATACATATGTTCAATGAACAAAACGAGAATAAATTGGCTTAAAACTTGCTCTTTTCTCATCCTTCCATCTGTTCCTACTCATTAACTATTCATATTAAAATTGAAATGCTGATGGAGCTAACATTCCTTTTCTTTTCTTTTTTTATTTATTTTGGGTTTGTATTCATATCTCAAGAGACTCTTTTTTTTCTTTTTTCTTTTTTTTTGACAATTCTTAAAAGCAAAAAAAGAAATTTCCAAGGTACTCGACAGTTGCATGTTTCTCTGTATAGATCAATTAATATATGTTCCGTCATTTTTTTTTTTTTTGCAATTGATGAAAGTGATGCTCAACAGGATTGAGACGTCAATGACATGCAATAGATGATACATTTCAATTGGATAGCAACTTTCTGTTTTTTTTGTTTTTTTTTTGATGAAAAATTGTTCTATATATACACGTGTGTCTATATTATTAAAGAAATAAGATTCTAAAAAACAATCTTGTCTCTTTCTTATAAATGTGTTCAAGCAGAAATCTATTTCTTTTTTGTTTTCTATTACAATGTCCTCTAGGCTCACACTCACACATTGAATACACCAATAGAAACCTTATCTTTTATACATGCACACGCGAACGATGATGGCGTGTCCATCGTGCAGCTAATTGAAAAATTAATGAAGCAAATATTTTCAAGCAACCACTACCATCATCATCTTCTATTCGCTATCATAAATGAATGAGATAGAAGAAAGACATCAACAGCAACAGCAACAACAACACCATCTTCAATCATCATTCAACTGTATTCAATGAAAGTTCTACATGACAAAAAAAAAACCGTCCAATAACCAACCTATATATGATTGATAAAGTCAACCTACTGTGTTTTTTAATTAAAAAAAAACAAAAAGAAAAAAAAATTTCGAATATGAACAAAGGTGATTTCTTGCCTGATATTTATCAATCGATTAGATTTGATCAGCATGTATCTCTAATATATTATATATCGAAGAAAAGAACAACAATTTTTTTGTATGATACGTAAATACCAGCCGTTGGACAGATGAAATATTTTATTTTCAAAGCTTCTCCTCCTTTTCGTTTTTCTTCTTCTTCTTTTTTTTTGTATTTCATCAAATCTGTGTCGAACTAGTAGTTGCTATTGCACTTAGTCAATATTTAATCACTAAGTCTAACGTGTTATTTTTTTTCTTTATGTCAATATCATAGTAGTGGTGACCAACAGATTGTTTGTCACAAATCTTCTAATCTCACAAGCGACCCAGAGTGATCAAGTGTACAATATATATATATATATATATATATATAGAACAAATATAATCATTCGAATCGAATTTCTTCAATCTTATGCATCTGTTCATATTTTAGCAGATGCCAACTTACATCATTTATTTTCTCTTTTTATATCTAAGCAAAGAAAAAGAATCTAAAATATAATTAGTAAATGGTTAACAACATAGATAAATAGATATATATTGCTGGAGGCATTCGTTTGATGATGATGATAAGTGTCGAATAATAATGATTCTCACTTTAACATAATAAACAAAAAGACCTATAAAAAAAAAAAAGAAGACTGTCGATAATAGATAAATCAAAGGACAATATGTTTTGCCTGTTCGAACTATTATAATTATTCTTTTGTCTTTATAATACAAATCTATATCCACTGACCAATATGCATCTTCTTCTTCTCTTTTTTTATTCTTAATGTAAATGTCCGAAACACATGTGTGTGTGTGTGTATATATATATGATGGTAACTCCCATTTTCATTAACAAAGACAAAAAAATATACGACATTTGATTTGACTTTTCTTATCAACTAGTACCTGTCATATACATACATCAATGGCAAGTAATAATTAAACACTCAAATTGTGATGAGTCTAACACATCTTTTCTTTTGTTTATTTATGCCTATGACGTCTGGCATTCTGTTAATTAAAGAAAAACTTTTTTTTCTCCCAATAAACAATTCTACTACAAACCAGATTCATTATTGTCCTTTTCTGAGGCCAACCCACAGATTAGTGATGATAATTAAAAAAAAGAATGCACACTTATATATAGAAAAAGAAAACAAAGCACAATAAACGAAAGTGTCAAATGAAGAAGATGTATCATAAGAATCATTTTGTGAATTCAACCGTAACATAACTTGAGGGAACAAAAAGAACCAGATACATTGAAAGAAACAAGAACTCATACATATTGTATGCATTCAGCGGAATTCCTCATACTTTTTCTTTTTATTCTGTCTACATGGTTAATCATAAAAGATGAAGAAAAGAACCATTTTACTCTATTAGTTGGTTGGTTGATTTTTTTTTTCTTTTTCTTTTTTATATCATCATACTGTGTGTGTACTTAATCGTTCTATACTTGCATTTTTTTTTCTTCCTCTTCTCCTTCCGAGCCGGTTCGTCGACAAACGACCAAAGAAAGAACGATGACATCCAATAGAAGAAAAGAAACAGACTATTTCTTTCTTACAAGTAAGAGTGTTTTTTCTTGTTCTTCATCAAAGAGTAACATACAGCACCTTCTCGCTTTCTCTCTGTCTCTCTCTCTCTCTTCACCTAATCTTGTTTGCAGAGCCTCATCTTACTACATAATCAAAACAACATTTGATGAATTAAGGTGAGTATTAGTATACATGTATATGTCAAAAAAGAAAAAGTGACTTCTTTAGTTTATTTATTATCACATCATAAATCATATTGGTTAATAATAATAATAATAGAAAAAGAACAGAAAAAATAAAATTTTCTCTGTTATGTATTTTCAAAATAGTTTGTCAAGAAAAAAAAAAGAAATGTTTATTTTTCTCTAGTGATTCTCAATTTCGTTTTTTCTTTTTTTTTTGTATTGTATATTTCATTGTCAATAAGAAGCCGTTACAGTTAGTAATTGCAAATTCAAGTAGCGCTAGGTCAATGGACAAATAATTGGCTTCACACCGTAGTATATCGAAAAGAAATTTATCTTCGAGATTTTC